TCCCGCCCTTTCTTCAGCACCATTCTCCTAATTTCCATCTTTCTGCCCCTGACCTTCCTCTATTTTCACCTTTAGCATCCAGATGCTTAGTGTTCATCCTTGTCGTGCTAGTGGCTTTATGGAGGTTTTAGACAGACTCAGTTTCAGTATTCTCAACTTGATGCCCTTTTGTGGCCAACTTTTAAACAGAAATCTAGCAAGAGTCATGGACAAGTGAAATGCCTTAAAATAATGAGATAATAGTGAATCTGGACCAGGAGCCAGTCAATTCCAGCCCCTTAGCTAGAACTTGTACCCCAACTTTTAATTTCTATAACTATCTTTTATTTTCCCCTTTATCATCCAGATGGTTGAAGGTCATTTCTGTTGCATTAGCGTCTGTATGGAGGTTTTAGACAGACAACCTCAATAGTCCCACCTCTGGGTCTCTGTGTAGCCAACTCAAGAAATGAATTTTGGCAAGAGTTATGGAGAAGTGAGATGTCTTAAAACAGTCATACAGGTGGAGAAAGTGAACCAGGAGCCAGCCAACTTCTCCCCTGAGTCAGAACATTTCTCCTAACTTCCAACATTCTACCAGACCCTCCCTGCCACCATCATTTTGTTTCCCTCTTTATACACTCTGTTTTGCGTTCTCCTGTTCTGTTTTCGTGTCTTTACATTGGTTTTCAGGATACATGGCCTCAATATAAACACTATGAAGATTGTGTGCGTCTGGCCCAATGACTAAAATCAAGCAACATATTATGGAAAAGTGTAGTGCCTTAAAATTTGGATAGCAGAGCAAGAGGACCAGGAGCCTGACACCTCTTACTTATTAGCCAGAATCCATCTCTGTACTCTCCAGTCCTGCCACTCTCTCCCCTTCCTTATTTCCTGTCTACCTATTGTACGTTTGCCAATCAGCTTTCTTGTGATAGTTATTCACCAAAGCTGTGGGTAGAACAAGTCCCAATTCACAACTTTCTCAACTATAGTTGTACACTACTCTAGAAACTTAGAGAAATTTTTTAAAATGGGGTATATGTAGGAGGTGGACCAGGAACCGGCAAAATCTCTGTCCTTAGCCATCTCCTCTCTCCTAACTTCTAATCTTTCTGCCACTGACGTCCACCCTTTTATGTTCCCCTTTTACCACTTATAGGTTTGGTGATCATCTCTGTTGTGTTCATCTCTTTTGAGAAGTTTTCAGAGACTCAGCCTCAATCTGACCACCTTGAAGACTGTGGTTCACCAGCCTAAGGAGGACATCTAACCAGAGGTTATGAATAGGTGGAATATCTTAAAATAATAGGGTAGTAGGAGAAGGAGGCCCAAGAGTCAGCCAGCTCCCGCCTTAGCCAGCACTTCTCTCCTAACTTCCATCTTCCTACCAGTTACTTCTACCCGTCGATTGCTTCATTTTTCTTTCTGGATATTGTGTCAGTACCTGTGCTGCGTTAGCGTCTTTATGTAGGTTTAGGGGGTTACTCAGCCTGCCTTATGAGTACAGGTGTCATAACCATACAAATTTATTAAAAAATATTATGGAAAGGTATAATGCCTTAAAATGTTGAGATAGGAGGAGGAGGACCAGAATCCAACCCGAGGTTAAGCTGAACCTCTCTCCAGATTGTCATCGTCCTTCCCTCTCTCTCTTTGCTCTTTTCCCTTCTTACCTGTTGGATGTCAGCTCTGCTGTGTAAGTGTCTCTGAAGAGGCTGTAGAGAGAGTCAGGCTTTAATTTTTACAATTTTGTGTACTGTCAGTAGCCACTTGATCCATGGAATTTAGCAACATTTGACACAAAAATAAAATTCTTTCTTTAAAAATGTATCAGAAATAGAAAGATGATTAAGAGTCAACCAACCCCTGCCTATTAGCCAGAACAGCTTTCTTTATATCCCCCCTCTCCACATCCCCATCCTTTCTCTTTTCCCCTTCTACTTCCTTGATATTAGTTGATCAGCTCTACTGTGTTAGTGTGTTTTCAGAGAGTTTAAGGAGAATCCAGCCTTGATTATCTCAACCTTTAGGACTGTGGGTTGCTGCATCTAAACGCTGGGCGCCAGGGTGACATTCAAGCCATAGAGCCTGATTAGAGATTACAAAGAAGCAAAGTGTACACAAATGGGACAGGAGGAGAGGTAGGACCAGGAGCCAGCCAACTCTTGTCCCTTAGCAACAAGATCTCTCCTTTCATCTCCCTAAATACCTATTACCTCCTTTTTTTTTCTGCCACACTTTTGCTCTCTTCCTTTCGTCCATGGGGTTGTGTTAGTGTTTTCTGCCCATATGGACAGATAAGCCTGCAGGGAAGCCAGTAGGAACTAGTGTTGTAGAGGCTTTGCCAGCCACAAGAACAATTTGAGGTGACCTTCCCCTGACTTTGCTTTATGCTACTGTGGGCGCATTTTATCCCTTGGGGACAGCCAGGCTGATTCCAGTCTGATTTGTGCCAAAACTCATTCCCAGGTATGTCTGTCATAAAACATGGATTGACTGAGAAAATTCTAGGTCCTCAGTAGTATGGTTGATGTGTGGTAGAAAGTTGAGTGCAGAGTATGCCTATGAAGATGTTTCCAATTACAATAGATTTATTGGAGAGGAAGACACCCAAGTGGAAATGTGTGGGGCCTGTGTGGCAGAGTGAAGCCTCCTGGGGGGCAAGTGGAGGTGATTGGTGAGGTAAATTTGAGTTGGACTCCCCCTTTTAGTATCCCTGCCAAAAAAAAGGTAGTGAGGGCAAATCTTTCTGGAAAAGAGTGAAATGGTAAGTAACCAGATGAAACTGCAGGCTCTATGTCTTAAGGCAGACGTGAGATTTATGGGATCCTTTCTCTCGCTCTCCCTTTTGTTAATTCTGTGTTGCCGTTTTAACTGTGATGGGTATTAGGTAAACAGGAGTGTGATGCTTATCAAAGTGTTAAGGGCACAAGAGATGCTGCTTCCTACTGCATGCTGTGGCCATTGACCCTGGGGACCAGGATGGTGGTAGAAGCATTCTCAACCCCTTTCTTTCAAGGAAGCGAGGTCCATTTTTCCAACCCAGGCTTTTCAGACCCAGGAGAGCACCAGAGAGTCCACTCTTCACCCCCACCAGCAAGCAGTGGCCAGTTGGTCAATGTTCTTGTGTAATACGTGTTAATTGACAAATATGGTTTAGCACAGTAAATGAATTAAACCTACTTGTTAAGGTTTTGTCTCGGCTCTTTATTTGTATATCTGTTTAGAGAGTGGAAGTGCGGAGTTGGGTAACAATTAGGCTTAAGCCCCAACTGTAGCCTCTGTAAGACTTTTTATACACAAGCAAGCCTCTCTGCGGGTTGCAATGGGAGAAAACACTGAGTCTTAGTTTCTCTCATGAAGGAGGCCTTTGGGAGAAAACTCATCCTGACAAGTTAATGGTAATTTTAAAAACACTTTGTGATTATCAGAAAGGAGGAATGATTCTCAGTGATGCAAACCATTTGGCTCTTTGTCCAGTCTCCATTGACTCATATCCCACTTATGAAAGGAAGAGGAAGGGGGCTGTGAGTAATAACTGAAAAAGCTGTTTCACTAAAATATTTTCTAAGACTACCTTGTTGCCCATATTAAAGAAATGTAACATTAAAAGAAATGGGGGTGGGGTGGTGACTAGAGAGGCACACAAGAGTGGCGATCCTGGATATTGGTTACATTCATGTGTTCAGTTTATGAAAATTCATCAGGCTATATATACTTAAAGATATATGCACTTTTCTATACGATTATTATACTTCAATGAAAACTTAGAATGCAAAAAAACCTTTAGAGAACTAACAGGGATTTGTGTAACAGTGTATGCATTTATCAAAACTCATTAAGTGGTTCATTTAAGATTTGTGCATTACTTTTGATGTAAATTTTACTTCAAAAAAGAAGAAAAGAAAAAAAGGAACAAAGAAAAGGAAGGAAAAAAGAAGGGAAGAGCTACAAACATTGAACTCTAGTTAATGACCTGCGTGCCGAAGTCTTGGTATGAAGTATACTAATGTCTACAACTTACTTTGAAATGAATCCAAAAAAATGAAATGGTTTGATGGATGGATAGAAAAATTTTAATTGTAAAATCTGAGTAGTGACTATATGGGTGTTCACTGTACAGTTCTTTCAACTTTTCTTTATATTTGAAAATTTTATATTTAAATGTTGGGGAGCAGAATCAAAAGAGGGGAGGAAGAATTCTCCCCATTTCTTTATGAATATAAATGTTGACTTCAGCCCATTGAGGACCCAAATGCATCAGCAGCAATTAGCAAGAGACAGGTATCCAGCAGAAATAGCAGCAGTTCCTGGGAGATGTATGCCCAGTCGAGCTGGTGGTGCCCAGGTGGAGATGACTTGGTGTCAACCTGGAGAGACTCCTTCAAGAGGCTTAGGTGGCAGAGACACCAGACAGTAACCAGAGCATGAGAAGAAGAAAATGGTGGATGCTATGAAGTAGATGTCAAGACTCATTTATGGAGACATGTGAGACATACCCTGGGGTTTGTACCATCATATACAACCAAGCTGTCAGTTTTGCTCCTTGGCATTTCTCTAAGTCACAAATGTTGAAAGTACTCGTCATTAGAATCTGAAGCAAACTGCTGTGTTTGGCATGTTAAGCTGACGAGAAGTTTTTCATACCTCTAGTCAGAGCCAAGCTTTTTCAACATTTTCCAGTTACATGAAACATTACATTTGTGCTCAATGAAGAAAGACTATAAATAGGGGTAAATGAGACAAATCAAAACATTTGCTTGAAGTTGGCACCTATGTTTGTCTTAGGGCGTAATGACCTGGGAATTAGTCCATATCCAGAGGTTTTGTTTGTTGTTGTTGTTGTTATTGAGATATAATTCACATATAACATTGTGTCCAGGGTTCTCTTCGTTGTTAAAGAGTGATCCTGGGGAAGGAACTTTCATTTCCTCCTTAGCATTCTAACCAACAGATATGGTGAGTAAGAACTCACTACCTCCCACAATCACAATTCTCTTTCAATCTCTTTCTAGGGTTTCACCGATATTTTGCTAGAAAGAGTCATGCACGGGGGAGCCAATATTACAGGATTCCAGATTGTCAACAATGAAAACCCTATGGTTCAGCAGTTCATACAGCGCTGGGTGAGGCTGGATGAAAGGGAATTCCCCGAAGCCAAGAACGCACCGCTAAAGGTAATGTTCCATGGCATGTAGAAACCTTACAGCTTTTCAAAGCATCTCAGTCTGGCCTTTATATACTTACGGCCATCCTGTGATCAAGTGGTCTTCCCTCAGAAATGTTTCAAGTATGCTAAAACACAACTGCAGGTGATGCTGCTGCATTTGAAAACTAAACTCCCAAATAAAGAAGCTATTGAGAAGGAGGTCTTTTAAAACCGTGTTTGGGAATGTTAACTTAATTTTTTAATGAATTTCATTTGTAATATGCTCCTAACAATTTATAATATTACAAGAACCTGAGTCGGGCAAAGGGTAGGGGCAGCAGGAATGGGTAAGGAAGATTGATAGTCTGAAACAGAAAATTAGATTGTACATTATTTATGTGATTGCTTTGTGTTAATAAGTTTCATGAATCTCAGTACACCCAAGTGAATTAGGCTCTAATACAGGGTGCGTGTGGCCTATACGTATATTGAATGGAAATGTTTTCCTGCCTGCAAAAGTATCTTTAAAAATAATTAGATTACCTAAATTGCTCATTTTCATGAAACCAAGATAAGAATATTAAAAGTAGAATGTCATGCTTAAAGTACACATTTTTCATATGTATTCCCTTATGGCTAGAAATCCTATTATTTAAAAATCAGAAATTAAAACAGATAAATTAGCAGAAAGTTATTCATGTTACACAAAGGATCTTTCAAATGTATTTTTTAAGTAACTATTCCCTCAGTGTATTGGTTCAAGTGTGAAACTGACTTTAAATTCTTCCTTCCTGATACGGTGAAAGTATGTATGTACCATGACTGTGGGATTCCTGTGATGAAGATAAGAGATGAAAGTAGGGTCAAGACCCTTCCCTAAAAAAGGAAACAGGAGGGGATATTTTCTTTCTCATGGTTTCAAGATACCCATCCTCACATCCTTCCTCCTTGGCAAGAATAGAATAAGGGAGAACAGTGGGGACATAGACCAAAGAAGAGACACATTCTGAATCACCTATGCAGGCCCACTCTGAATGGGTCACATCAGAACATAATACAAGTAGGACCTTACTTTATGCAATTGGTATGTTCTAGAAAAGTTGGGAGTTAAACATCATTTTTTCATTTATTTAAGCCACTCACCAGCTAAGTGGTACTCTGTATTTGTAATGATTGTATTATACATGCCAGATTTTTCCAGGACAGTCCTATTTTAAAACATTCTGTCCCATGGTCAGATCAAGTGTCCTCATGTTTCAATAAATATGGTCACAATCCCTATGATGAATTCTTTTGTAGTTAAATCTTTTTTAAAGATGATTATTTTGTTTTATTTTTTATTGAGATAATTGACATATGACATTATATTAGTTTTAAGTTTACAATATAATGATTTGAAATATGTTTATATTGCAAAATGATTACCACAATAAGTTTAGTTAACAGCCATCACCACCATAGCTAGAAAGTTTTTTTCTTGTGATGAGAACTTTTAAGATCTACTCTCTCAGAAACTTTCAAAACTACAATACAGCGCTGTTAACTATAGCCACCATACGGTACATTATATTCCCAGAACTTATTTATCTTATAACTGGAAGTTCGTACCTTTTGACCACCTCCACTCATTTCTCCCATCGCCCCACCCCCTACCTCTGGCAACCACCAATCTGTTCTCTGTTTCTGTAGGTTCAGGTTTTTTTTTTTTTTGGATTCCACATATAAATGAGATCATACAGTATTTGTCTTTCTCTGTCTGACTTATTTCACTTAGTATGATGCCCTCAAGGTCCATCTATGTTGTCACAAATGGCAGGATTTCCTTCTTTTTATGGCCAAATAATATTCCATTGTATATGTATATATACCACATTTTCTTTATCCATTCATCCATTGATGGACACTTAGATTTTTTTCCATGCCCTGGCTATTGTAAATAATACTGCAATGAACGTGGGGACGCAGAGATCTGTTTGAGATAGTGATTTCCTTTCCTTCAGATATATACCCAGAAGTGGTATTGCTGGATCATACGGTAGTTCTATTTTTAATTTTTTGAGGAAACTCCATACTGTTTTCCATAGTGGGTGCACCAGTTTACATTCCCACCAGCAGTGCACAAGGGTTCCCTTGTCTCCTCATCCTTGCCAAAACTTGTTATTTCTTGTCTTCTTGATAATAGCCATTCTGACAGCTGTGAGGTGATATCTTATTGTGGTTTTGACTTGCATTCCCTGATGATTCAAATCTTTTTTTATGTACTAAATCCACCCACTGCATTTAGGTGACCTTATACAAATTTAGATTTTCATAAAACTGCCTAGCTACTCTTTGCCATCCTTTGATTTAGCAAGTAATAGGTAGAGGAGAGAAATTCATTTATTCAATATTTTAGGGGGTACTTGGAATGTGGCAGGCACTGTGTTAGGCACAAACAAATGGACAAGGATAAAAGTATGAAAAGAGTACCACAGAGTAGTTTGTGCCTGCTCAGAGGCTCTAGAGGTTGTACAAAATAGAAGGAAGACAATCTCAGGCAGGGATTATTTATTGATAACGCATGGCATGTGTAATGCAAAGTTCCCAGAATTTGCTGAGAAGAACCGTTCAGGCTTATAAATAAAACCCTTCAAATAACTTAAAAAAACGGAATATTAAAATAGATGGTTACAACGTTCAGATTACTTTTTCTTAGTACTAGTCATTACGGAAACTTGCTCTATATCAATCGGACAAAAAGCCCACTTTAAAAAATGATGTTCAATATTTTTGATTAGGAAATAAAGTTGTCTAGAGATTAAAATCCTGATGCTTAATTTACCCTATATTTTACGAACGTTTCCTTTTGGGCCTTTTTTTTTTTTTTAACCTGCTCACACATTGGTAAGTAGAAGCTGGAAAAGTAAAAAATTAAATAGCTCTTTTGGCATGGCTTGGAAAGGACTACATTAAGATTGCTGACAATCTATGAAGTCAGCTGGAAAAAAATCAGCACTATGTTGGCTTTACGTAGTACTAGGAGGGGCAGACACAAAGATTTTTTTTTTTTCATCAAAGAACATACGCCCCCTGTTGCAGCCATACTTGATGATTTGCTCCTGAAAGAAAAGTAACATGAGAACAGTCAGAAAAATAAATTGGTAGTCGTAAAGATGACAATGTATTCACTCCCAATTGTATTTGGACATACTATATAGAGAGAAAACTCCCCATAACACGTTTTGCTTCATTTTTAAAAATCAACAGAATTCTATATTCTACTAGTATTTGTCACCTCTGCAAAACAGGGGCCAGCTTATTTTAATCGCACATTGTTGACTCATTTAATGAAAAGGTGTCCACCATGTCAAATTGCAGATAATCCAAACCCTTGTATTGAGTGACTAGCCTCGTCCCTAGCAGAGCACACAATATATCCAAGGAATAGAATGTAAGTGTTCTTGCCTGAAAGAGGTAGCATCATGAAGCATTGCCTGTGAATTGTCAAAGTTATCAGATTTAAAACTCAATAACAATTGTAATTTTCTACAATCCAAAACTAGCCTTGGTTTTTGCTCCCCCCCAGGAAACAAAAACTGATTTATTGCTGGCCAGAGGTCCTAGTTCTCCAGAAATGTGGTCCAGACAGAAATGATTAATGTTTCCCTCCAAATTAATTTCAAGCTGTCTAACTTAGCTATTTCCATTTTCCCCTAAGTAAATACCAGATCTGAATTTTCTATTACAAGCAGCAATAACCCAGTCTTGCTTTAGGATATGCTGTTTCCACTCCAATCTACATATGCTATCCTTTAACTTCACACGGATTTCTTTCTCTCTAAAGGACCTGGCCTTTTAGTAGTCACTCACTCAATATGATACACAGTATTGAGAGCAAGAGAGAGATTCCCTGGAGCCATTTGATCTTAATAATCTTAACATGTGCACACATGCGGTAGGAGGCATTATTCTAGAATGAATCAAAGGCAGGTTTGCCCAGAGAGATCTCTAGATTCAAATAATTAAGAGGGTGACTTCATAGAGCAAGAGGAAGAGATGAATGAAAATCATAAGGAACAAGGCAAGTTTTGAGGGTGTCATTTGTCATGATATCTTGTTTTCCATACATCCATTTTAGTACACATCTGCATTAACGCACGACGCAATACTGGTCATAGCAGAAGCTTTCCGCTATCTGAGGAGACAGCGAGTGGATGTGTCCCGGAGAGGCAGTGCTGGAGACTGCTTAGCAAATCCTGCTGTGCCCTGGAGTCAAGGAATTGATATCGAGAGAGCTCTGAAAATGGTAAAGACCACAATGGATTATTGAGATGGGGGGACCTTAAAAAGACACAAAAAAATGAGACCTCAGGGGCCTGCCTGGTGGAGTAGTGGTTAAGTTTCACGTGCTCTACTTCAGCAGCCCAGGGTTCACAGGTTCAGATTCCGGGCATGGACCTATACACCACTCATCAAGCCATGCTATGGCAGTGACCCACATACAGAAAAATAGAGGAAAATTGGCACAGATGTTAGCTCAAGGACAATCTTCCTCAAGCAGAAAGAGGAAGATTGGCAACAGATGTTAGCTCAGGGCCAATCTTCCTCACCCCCCCCGCAAAAAAAACAGACCTCAATCTTGAGAGAAGATATACTAAAAATAATAGGATCAGAGTCTATAGAATGTCAGAGTGTGCAGAAAGAAGAGCATGGATATTTATTCATCAAAATCTAGAAATCTAAAACTAGAGGGTTCTTCCTTGAAGCTTGAAAAGTGGTAAATTTAGGGCAAATGAATATTTAGTTCTGTGCTACACTGTGGGTAGTAAATCAAACTCAGTACCCTTAAAAGTCATGGATTGAACATGTAAATGGCTTCAAAAAATTCAAACTTTCCAGAAGTGTGATATTACTTAGGGGGACTGGAATATTCTATAGGAACCTCCTAACTTCAAGGTAGACATTACAAAGGACAAAGGTGTACTCTGCCTCATCATACAAATTGTTAGCCTGGATGACTGTGGAGCTGAGCCAATGTGATAATATTTCTGTTGTCAAAAAGAACCTTTATACTGTTCTACATGGTGAAATGCAGGAACATGATACATTTCTAGGCCTACTTAAGAGGCTTTTCCCCAATGCCCCAAAGAAAAAGCCTAAAGAAAAGTACAAGGAATCAATGGATAGACAGTCAAATAGGTCACTTGTTTTTAGTATTTACTGGGTAGGAGATCATTTAAGGCTTCAAGCAGTGTCCTTTGAACAGATTCCATTATTTACACTAGGAGCAGCATCGCCCATTCATTGCAGCTTTCCAAGCTAAAGCTCTTTCCTGAATATTTTGCTTTATGCTACATGTGCCTGCATGCATTAAAATGAGCCTTCAAGAGTACAAGACTCTCTTATTTCTACTTATTTAATTATCCTGATGTTTGGGACATCCAAATAAACAAAGAGATGGGCAATGATAAGATAATTCTGTGCACAACCCAGCAACGAAGAATTTGTAATGGCCTCATAACGTACATCATTTTGTGTAGTTGGCGCTCTTACTGCTGCCTTAAATTTGCCAAGTTGGAAGCATTCAATCAAAAGGGGTTAGTAGCCCCTGTGTCTCTCTCCAAGAAAGAGATATGACTCATTCTCCCATCATGCAGATTTTTATGTCATTATGTCAGTTCCCTAACAAATGCCCTAAGTGTAGTTTTATGGAGGTAGCACTGCACAATTTTGAAGAGCAGTTAATTAAATTCAACCTTCATAGCAGTTACAAGATTTGTATTGTCAGGTGAAACATAATGATGAGTGAAAAATAAAACTCCCTCAGAGTGAATCAAAAGGAGTTTTCATCAACAAAACCTCAAGGGGCAAGTGCCAGCATCTCCAATTGACTCCCCATTCATACACAAATAACTATGTTCCCCGAATAAAAAACTGCCTACTAGAGTTAAGGACAAGAAATCAATTTGGGTAGAAAAAAATTAGATTGATCATATTATTGCACAAATAGTTTCTGCATGTCTAACTCAACTGATAAAGCTCAAGCTATAAGCCAGGTAAGTAACCTTTCTCCCCAGGCCATAATGATCAAACACTCAACCAAAAAGATGCTTTACCTCTTTCTGTTGGCCAACCTCTTCTTATAACTCCAGAGAGACTGGAAAGCATCATCAACCTTTTCCAAAACTAGATGGTACCTTGTGATAAATGCTCAATAAAACTCCACTATTCAGAGGGACTGCAAGGGAGGATGGTCCAAAGTACTAAACATTTTACCAGATTAAATGAAATCTCATTCTATTTGAGTTAATTAAAAGTAAGAATGCATGATGTAAAAGTATCCCTCATTGTGACCAGCACATAATTGTTGCTCAACAAATCATTCTTTTCCTTCAGAGAAATCTGGCGAACAAAATGATTGCCTGATAGAAGCTGCTAAGAGGCATGTTTTAATGAATAAATAAGCACACCATTCACTCAGTAAATATTTATTGAGCACTAACAACTATGTATCAGGCTCCAAGCTAGTATGCAAACTTGGCATAAGATGAGCGGAGCTCACATTTAAATTGTTAATATGTAAACAAATTCTTTTAAAGATCTTAAAGCCACTTGGAAATTGGGTAATCATTCTCACATTGTACAGGTAGTACAAAGATCAGCCTCAGCCTGGTCTACTGAAATATATGACAATTTTAAGTCATTGAAATTTTTCCACTTGTTCAGTAAACATTTAGTGAGTACCTTCTCTATCCCAGGCTCTGTATTAGTTGCTGAGTACACAGAAAAAGAATGTCTCTCATCTTGAGATGCTCCCAATCTAGTAGGGGAGACGGAAATACATAGTTGATTAAAATGTTATGGTTAAGTTCTACACAGGGTGCTATGGGAACCCGGAAAAGAAGCACCTAATATAGACTGGGGTGGGGAGCGGGGAGGATTAAAGAAGGGATTCCAGGAGGGATGGTGGAAAACTGTCACTGACATTCAATACCAGACCACATCTGTAAAAATAGACTTCTCTCTGAGTGGTAATCCAATTCTACTTCTGCTCAACGAAAGTTCTAATCATAGGGTCTGGAATCTCTTGGACGTACCTAGACTGTTGTCTAGTTTGTAGGTCATGTTCAGGTAGACTGAGTCTTTAGAAGTATACAACTCTCAATGAGTCTTGAAACCCTTGCTGTTTTCGGTAATGAAGAATTTCCTTGCCAAGAATGAATGAATAAGTTCCTATGCCAGTGTCTCTGTCCTGCCTATCTCCTCTCCTAGAATTCAATGCTTAAAATAGAGTGTAAAGAACATTTTATGCACCACAGTATGCACCAGACCCATCCTACTGGATAAACAAGTTCTATCTCAACAAAGGACCTTTTCTTTAACTAGAAGTGTGACATCACCTCTGCAAGCCTAAGCTGGTAGTAGTGCTTAGGTTTGTTGGGTCAGTACAACAATTATTTTGTCTTCAGGAAGTCACATTGGAGCATTTCCCCTTCAAAAGGAATTTCAGAGTCTCCTACTGGTGGTGGTCAAGCCCACTCCCCTTTTAAAAGATGCTCCTTAATATTTACCATCAATTTTCCCTTCTGCAGCTCAAGCCCATTACCACTTCTGACTTGCTTAATAGCTTTTCACTTTCTATAAGTGATGAAAAAGTATTCCGTCCTTTCATCTTAGGAAAATGAGACAGATTCTTTTTCTTTGAAGTAAATTCCTTGACCTTTACTCACCAGATAAGTAATTCAAGTGAATAACAATAATGACATATTTATAGGGGGTCTTTCATGCAGTGTCCCTGAACTGTAAAGTAGGTAATGAAATATCTCCACTCAGCAGAGATGGCCTCTTTTAGTTCATAATACTGGGCCTAGACCCAGGAAAAATTGTGGCATATATGAATCTGCATTTGGAATCCCAAATAGGTGTCCAGGCCATTCACTACCCCTAGCTTTCTTATCTAGTACTCCATAGTCCTGATTCCTTAGACTTAAGAAAGTTCATCTGTCTATGGATTAGCGCCCCCTGGCCTAGCTCTCTGCTACCTCTGTAGCTGGGTATGTGTTAAATAAGGAGAAACTCATCCCTGTTACTGTGATAGCTAGCAAATGTGAAACATCCCTCTCAAGAAACAGAACTAAATTCATTTTGATTAATAATTATAATTATTAATATAGCTAGCTGTATTGCAATACTTACTATGTGTCAGACACTGTTCTAAGAAATACATAGGTATAAGTCATTTAATCCTCCCAACAACTCTGAGGGATAGGTACCACTAAGATTTCCCATTTTACAAATTAGGACACCGAGGTACAAAAGCGTTAAGGAGCATCATCAGGTCATACAGTCAGTAGGTGATGAAGCTAGGATATGAATCTAGGAGCTCCAGAGTCCATGTTATTGAAACCAGCTTATGTTCAGATATTGGGAAGACTAAAATAAGACATAGCCACAGCCTCCAAGGAATTCATGGCTTAAAAGAATGCATTACTTGGGGCTGGCCCCGTGGCCAAGTGGTTAAGTTCGCGCACTCCGCTGCAGGCGGCCCAGTGTTTCGTTGGTTCGAATCCTGGGCGCAGACATGGCACTGCTCATCAAACCACGCTGAGGCAGCGTCCCACATGCCACAACTAGGAGGACCCACAACGAAGAATATACAACTATGTACTGGGGGGCTTTGGGGAGAAAAAGGAAAAAAATTAAAAATCTTTAAAAAAAAAAAAAGAATGCATTACTCTAGTTAAAAATATACTTCAGGCTACTCCCTTAAGAAGAGACTAATGGTGGAAATTTCAGGCGCTTGAAAAAGTGGTGGTAGAGCCCTCACTGTATCATATAGGTAACTGCCTATCCCACCCACTCAAAGCTTCATAACTAAAAGGCATACCTAGAAAATACTGGGGAGGAAATGAAAATCTGTATAGACTTGATCTGGTGAATATAAAGCTCAATGACTCAAGATAAAAGTTCTCCAAGATTCCAAAAACTGTCAACAGACTTCATCGCAGACAGCTGAAAGGGAATAATGTGGTATTATTTTGAAATTTTACATTTTCCCTTTCTACCAGGTGCAAGTACAAGGAATGACTGGAAACATCCAATTTGACACTTATGGACGTAGGACAAATTATACCATCGATGTGTATGAAATGAAAGTCACTGGCTCTCGAAAAGTAAGTAACCAAAACAGATATCCAAAGAAAAACTCTCTCAGAAAGTGAGAGCCTTCAGATGCAAGAAAACAGGTGTTAGGAAACACAAAATGCAGATTCCCACACATCATTTTTGCCTTTCCATTCAGTGAATAGTGTAGATATGCTGCAGAGTAGTTTTGTAATCAGTGTTCCATCTACACATTTTAAAGGAGTATTTCCCTCTGAGGCTCGCCCTATAAAAGTGGTAGACTCAAGAATTATTAACAGCTCCCTACAATAAAGGGAAGGAATCACAAATTTTACAGCATGTTGTTATTTAAACAGAAGCTATCAAGGTACATACGGTTTTAGCAAAAGAATTGGAAAGTAGATATCTCTCCACTTTGCCAATTCACCCACCAAAAGGACTCTGGACAAACTACCTTTCGCTACAGCTCAATTTTATAATGACCACCTTTCTTCTATCATAGTAATAGTTGAGTTAGGCATGAACTCAACTATTGAGTTAGGGGATTTAGTAGCCATTTTATAAAATCTCAAAATGTAAATTATCTTGTTCGTTTCTACAGGTTACTCATTGGTTTCCCACCCCCACATCCCAGCTTTCCTATAGTTCAAAGCAAAGTATTTTTCTGCTATATGAGTTTAAAGAAAAAAAAGACTGATTATGCTACAGTGGGATAAGTTATTTTACAAAATATCAATTAAAAGTGAGATGGGGATGGGAACCCTCAGGATGAAGGAACAAGCATATCTGTGTGTGTGTGTGTGTGTGTGTGTGTGTGTGTGTGTGTGTTGGAGTCCTGGTCAAGGTGGCAAGACACAGGGAGAGAGGAGGTCAATCCTTGTAAAACTCAAGCGACTAAAAAAAGTTTCATTCCACAATAACGCTTGAATCTTATGCAGCACTTCTTGAGTGAAAAATAGGCAACCAGGTCAAATGTCTCCTCTTTCTAGGCTGGCTACTGGAATGAGTATGAAAGGTTTGTGCCTTTCTCAGATCAGCAAATCAGCAATGACAGTGCATCCTCAGAGAACCGGACCATAGTAGTGACTACCATTCTGGTAAGTATGGAGAGAAGGTAGGTGGGCTTTCTGTACAGCAAGGCTTCTGTCTTCTGAAAAGCATTATTCAGCCAGTAGGAAAGACCTCAAATTCAAGCAGTGAAAACTTCCAACAGGTCAGCTTTGGAATCTCTCAGAGTATCTTGCATGATGATGAACAGAATATCATCTAAAAAAAAGAGAAAAAATAGGAATTCAGAAGAGTTTCAGATGTCATTCTCTTTACTCCCTCCCCCCAACTATGGGACTGATACTTTGAAATCCAATTCTCCATTGTGGGGGAAACACTGTTGTGTGGAGGAGAGAGTAGATTAGGGTTCTAATACGAGGTCTACTACTAACCTGTGTTTAACTGTGAAAGACACAACTTCTCTGAGCCTCAGGTTGTGTTTTTTTTTAATTTATGGAATGGGTATAATAATAATCTCCTGCCTATGTCATAGACCATTTCAAGGCAATATTCACCATGTAAAGCTTTTCTGAAAAATTCAAAGCCCTGTTGAAATTTGGGGTAGTATTCTCATTTTCTTTTAAAATGTTTTTCTAAAAGCTGGTATGTTTTTACTGAATGAAGTACAAACCCAGATTAAAAATGAGTATTCCACTAGGTTTGAAACTGATTAATTGAATGAAGATTCAGCTGAAGTTCACCTTTCATTTAAATATACATAGCAAATGCTCACTTCATCCTAAGTACTGTACTAGGCCCTGATATAATGATGAATAAGCCATAGCCCCTAACCTCACAAAGACCACAGTGCTTCCTTGGGCTTCCCTGGGCTGGCTGTGGTTCCTACATAGTAAATCTGGAGAAATCAAAGGCAGTTCACCTTCATGTAACTAAGAGAACTACCTCTGCCCAATTTGACTAAATCAAAGACTTTACAGATAAAAACTTGTCCTTCTTTCAAACTCTCAGAAAGAATTTAAATCCTTCTCTATTTCTTTAAATCATCAGTTAAGGACTCCAAAGAATGTGTAGGCCAATGAATAGTTGATTGAGGCTCTTCTGCTTATCACGCAAAAATTTTTAAAGGCTCTTTTCACACACCAAACCTCAATAGCCACAGGGTGGGCAGGGGCGGGGGGGGAATTTCATTACTATTTTTATCATCACTTAGAAAAATGTATAGGAGTAATCATTTGCTCTTCCTTCTGGTCCCAAAGGAATCACCATACGTAATGTATAAGAAGAACCATGAGCAACTGGAAGGAAATGAGCGATATGAAGGCTATTGTGTAGACTTAGCCTATGAAATAGCCAAACACGTAAGGATCAAATACAAATTGTCCATTGTCGGCGACGGGAAATATGGTGCAAGGGATCCAGAGACTAAAATATGGAACGGCATGGTTGGGGAACTTGTCTATGGGGTAAGATTTTTTTCAACTCTATTTTCATCTATTTCTATGCCTTTCAATTAACAAAGAATTCAGAGGATTTAATTTCCAAGTGCAATACTCATCCAATTGTATAGTTTTCCTATGGTCTATAAGAAAAACGCTTTCTTCTACAGTTGAATTCTGTAAAGGTAACTTGTCAATAGCATTCTCTGAGCAACAGAATTATTCTCCTAAAAGAAAAGTAGAATCAGGGAACTGTATTTGGCAATATTAAGTACAGCCTGCCCTCTATTGAAAATCTGTTCCTTCTGTGTTCACTCTCTCAGGTAGCAGAATCACCGCCCACCTCATTGCCTAAGCAACCCAGTTATCTTTCCTAATTGCTCCCCTCATATCTCGTCAGTCACCATGTCCTATCAATTCTACTCTTATGTCTCAAATCCAGACACACTCTTCATTCCCACCATCATCATCATAGTTATGGATCTTATCATCTGTCAGTCATTTAACTGGTTCCCCTGCCTCTGCTCTTACTCTGGCAAATCAGATCTCCAAATTATTCTAATTTCCTACTTTAAAAATCAGGATAAAATTCAAATTCCTTAGCATGGCAAATAAGGCACTTCATAATCTGGCATCTGCCTATCTCTCTAGCTTCATCTTGTTCTCTTTCCCCTTCACCCTCAATGTCCCAGCTATAGCAAGGTGTGTGCTGTTACCTGAAGGTGCCTAGCTCTCACTTAAGGCATGCCTGGAAGTGCCTTTGCCTCTCTTCAACCAGCTAACACCAGTTACCAGTCCTCCAGAACTCAGAGCTATCATCTCTTTCAGAAAGCCTTCCTTAATCCCATTTATCCACCTGCAGTCTGGTTAGGTGCCCCCGCTTTTTGCTTCCTTATGGTACTTTTTGCTTTCTTATAGTACTTTTGAAACTGTATTATAATTATCTATTTACAAGGTCAGCTGCCCCAACTAGGCTATAAACTCCTTGAGGATAGAAGCCATATCTGATTCATTTCAGTATCCCAGAGCCTGACACATAATAGAAGTTCAATAAATACTTGCTGAATGAATGAATGAACAGAATGACTCTGTCGATGGCTTGCCCATGGGCCAAGTACAAAGGAATTATACTGATAATCAGGCCTTTTAAAAGGAGGTACAGCAGTATCTTCAGAGCTCCTCAGCGGCTTAACTCTAAAAGGTTTTAGCCTCTGATTAGGAATATCAGATCTTGGGCCACCCAGTGAGGCATATGAAGACAAGCAGAACTGTGCGTAAGAACTGCCCATTGGGTGGTTAGTCACTAGAGAATCAACCCAAGTGCAAGTAGTGGCGGCAAAGGTTTAGTTCTAACAGACAAGGATTACTTGCAATGACCAGTCCCTGTCTAGGCAACAGGTTAGGGGAAGATAGAGGAATCTAGGAGGTGGATATACTGAGAAGAAGCTGGCAAAAAGCAAACATCCAAGTTATCTGTTGGACTGAGGTTCAGGATAAGGATTTTAGTGCTTGAGATGGGAGTCAGCAAGATTAAGGTATAGCTCTCCAATCGTAAGATAGTACTGGGGTTGCTAAATAAGTTTGCAGAACAGGTCCTCAGGAACAAGCACAAAGGCAGAAGCTCATTTCTAAAAATAAGGCCACGGAAAGGGAATTAAGGCTTAAAATGAGACTGGACCTCAAGTATCAAAACTAGGGCACCATCCTCCAGTCAGAGAAGCAGCAAGGCAATTTGAACCTCAGCCCCCAGCTATGGGGCTGGAGCCAATTATCTCCTGTCTTGGGTCAAGGTTGGTCCTGGGAACTGGGGCAGGGCTGAGTTGCAGATGAGATTCAAGTGAACCCAGTTATAAGAAAGAGAAGAATTTCTAACATCAGAGAGAGGGGGCTAAGCAAGAGTCAGAGCATCTGTTGTGCTTTCTGAGGACCCTAAGAAGCTCTGAACCATCTTGACACAACTCTAACCTCTCACTTTATGAGCTAGTGATCAAGTCGTCTTCTGTTTCCTGTCCCTCATCTCCCCAACACTCAGGCTCCAAGAGGTCCTCACTCGTTCACAGCTCTCCCCTGTTCTTAGCACATTACCTGGTATATAGTAGATACTCACTTTTTGTTCTAATGAATGAATGCCTGGTACACAGTAATGCCCAGCCCAGAATTTAATATTCATTAAATTGAGTTCATGGTAGGAGGTAATCTTATAATATTTTTATTATTATTATAAGCTGCTATTTGCTGCATATTTCCGAGTTGGCAGACACTGTGCTAAGTGTTTTACAGGCATTATGTAACATAATCCTTATAACATACCTCCACGGGAGATGCCATTATTAATATCATTCTATAGGTGAGAAAATTAAAGCCTAGAGAAATGAAGTCTCATGGCAAGACCAAACAGCTTGTAGTGACACAATGATTTGAATCCAGGTCTCTGACTATGAAGTCCGTGTTCTTTAACCATTGCCCTATAATGCTCAACAGCCAAAGTGTTGTTTCAGACCCATCCCATCTGAAAAGATAGTTTAAATTTATTGCAAAGGCCCTTGTTGCCTTAACCATATTGGGGAGAAGAGTGCTTGATCACAGAGGCATGGCAAGGAATTTAGGGTATCAGTTTCTAGTCGGCCAGAGTAACTGACATGAGCTCTGCCAGCCTGTTGTCACGCAATAGCCAGAGCTCTCTAGTGTCTCAAAAGAAAACCTGTCACACTGTAAATAGCTCAGTGCCCTCCTGGCATTGAGCAGGATATTAGACACAGTGATGTGGAGCAAGGCAGGTTTCCTAACACTGTTCAGACAAAGACTCGCTTTCTCACTGGGTTTTGGTTTCTTCTCTGGCATGTCTTCTGTACAGCACTCAATTTCCACATTCTCTTCCTCTTTTCAATTTGTGTATGCGTGAACGAGGGAACTTGAGAACTACAGAGTCTCTTATTTGTTTAGCAATTTAGAAGCCATCTCTCTACTGCTGAATAGGTAAAAATTCTCCAGGAGGAGACTTCCCATCTCTTCCCTCCAGTTCTTTCTACTAAAGACAAAAGCAATACCCAGGGAAGGCTCTTACAGAAGTGTCCTCCCTCCCTCCTCTGACCCAGAACAAGTTTCTGATGCTTCCTGGGGTTATAACACAAGTTGATTCCAGGAAGCTGAGAGCAAACCAACCCATTTGAGTGGACTGCGAAATCCCACCCTCCTCTAAAACGTGTGGCTATGAAAAATGGACATTCTTATACTTGGAGTGACAGCTCTCTGTTAGGGCAGATGATCTCATAAGCTAAATGTGTCTTCATCTTTACTTAGAAGTTTTAATCTTTCATTATTGGGAAGTTTTCAACTTCTCTATCATTGATAGAAATGGAGGAAAGTAAAAACACAGGCATTCATTTCTGACAGGCCTAGCCTCTTGTGGTTTGCAAGTTGCTTAAGAAAAACAAGGGCAGAAAACCCCCAGTGATTTCCCTAAATGCTTAATAAGCAAAAGGACAGAGAACATGAAACTATGTCTTGCAATTAACATGAAAACTACACAGACAGGTGCTGCTTATCTTTAGGGTATTTTCTTTTATGTTTTTAGTATGTGAAACAGATCAGAATAGGAAAAAAATGAAGAAAGGCAGAGATGAAAAAAGCTTTGCAAAGGAGATTTCGGTATCTGCCATAAAGTCTCAAGAAAGAGTCAAAATGAATTAAATTTGTCAAAGAAGAAAGAAGCCAATCAGCCCCTTTTCAGATGATTCCTAAATGAGTTGTTTTTTCCTCTAAAGAAAATCAAATCAAGGTTGATGTTTGGGGCACCGTGTATCGCTAAGGAGGCTATTTTTGAAACAAACATCAGTAGGACACAATGTGCCACATTATGTAAGCTCTTCAGAACATTATGGACTTGAAACTGTCCACCTGCTTTTAGCAGTTTTGATTTTGAGCTGGATATCTATAAGATCACCACTTGGTAATTGTCCCCAGCTCAAATGACTTGACAAGTTTTTACGACTCCCAAATAGCATGCGTTTTAAGAGGACATTTTAAAACATTTTGTTGCTATCAGGGCTCTTGGACATCCTTCAGCCTACTTTTTCGTTTTACAGGTAAATATGGGGACCAGTCCGGACTGGACACAAGAATTGCCCATTGGTTAATCCAGGAAACCAAAGCCTGCTGTAGGATACAAATGACAGGAATGGTAGCAGGGATTGTGACAAGCTCACAAAATCATGCAGTTTGCCAGAGTTTAGACTATAAGTCAGGTTTCATGACTTCTAGTCCAGTGCTCTGTCCCTCGGGTCACACTGGCTCAGTTTACTAAACTTGTCTGATTATGAGAAGATCGGTGTTGTATCAGATATGGCATCCCCACCTGCCTTCAAAAGGCTTATAATCTAGTTGGATTATAAGCTTTTCCATCCAAGATATCCATCCTGCTTATCTGTGGCCTCCAGTATAAGTAATACACATCTCTAGTTATCACTTGAAATATTTGAAAACCCAATATAGACAGCTGGAGGTTTCTGCCCCTTGAGAGGAGATATGATCTAACAGAAAAAGAGAGTCAGGGAAAGAGCTACAAGGAAATTGAGGTGCTAATTGACAAAAGGACACCTCCCATCTGGCAGCTGCCATGTTCCTTATGTTCCCAACACTTAGAACTGGATAAAGACAGGAGAGGGGGGGAGTTGCCAAAGGCCAGACAAACTATTGCCCAGATCGGTACAACCGGCTTAGAAGAGAGCAGAGAGCTTGGGGATGGAGATGGGGTTGGGGACGGTTGATTTTAGGTCACATCTCCTGGGCATACTCAGACTCCTTCACACTTCCAGGACAAATGGCAATTTTATAGATGATAGTCGCACTGACATTTCTCTACCTAGAGGAAATTATCTCTTAGGTTGTCACTATCCTAAGATAGATTCATTTTCCATTAAGAAAGACAGAAAGTCAATCTGTCCCTCCAACTAAAAGGCAGAGAAGCAAGGGTGCAGTAACAGATGCCAGATATTCTCTTCTATTCTTTAGGAGATTACACTGGGCTT